CTTTATGCTCTCTTCATCTTCCTTTCGTTCGCTTGCAGCTTGTTCTAAAGAAACGATTTCAGTTGCATCGATCGAAGTCTCTTGCTGTTTCTCTTCGTCTTYTTTTTCATCGCCGTCGACTTTATCATCCTGATCAGYCATCTCTGAACTGATTGTTGGTTTGGTACCGTCATCTGGTTTCTCATAAGCTTTGCTGAGGTTCTCCTCTTCGGCCTCCTTCTTCTTCTCCTCCTCCTCTTCCTTCTGATTGTCATCCTCTTCCTTCTGATTGTGATCCTCTTCCTTCTGATTGTCATCCTCTTCCTTCTGATTGTCATCCTCTTTCTCTCCTTCCTTTCCTTCCTTTCCTAGTGCAGCTAATTCCGAAATGTTTTCTTCTTTTTTCTCATCAGATTGGTTGCTTTCCATCGATTTGTCAACTGGTGCTTGCTGATGAACATCAACTTCAACTTCATTTTCAACGTCAACAGTTCCATTTTTTTGAACATTAGTGTCTGTTTGTTGCTTGTCTTCAGCCTCCGTGACAGCGAATGTTGACAATGCTTTTCCTTCAGTCTCCGTGACAACGAACGTTGACAATGCTTTGTCTTCAGTCTCCGTGATAGCGAACGTTGAAAATGTTTTTCCTTCTTGTTCTTCTTCGTTAGCAGTTGCCGCCTCCAAGTCTCCTATTGTTTTCATCTGTACAAGATCTGGTTCACCTCGTTCTTTGTCTGCAAAAAGAAAGTCATCCTTTGAGCTACTAACGAGACTAAGAACTACGCAAACTACTTGCATATGCGCTATAGTTAGATATCAAATTCCCTTGCATATGTACTCTAAGAGATACACAGATGACTTAAAATGTGGTGAGAACAAAAGGTACCAGAAAAAAGAGCCAGCGCCAAAGCGTTTGTGCCTTTCATAAAAACACATCTTTAGGCTTTAGGATCCCATAAAGCAGCCTTCCGTCCAGATCTATACCATAAGTTTGTGTAGTAGTATATGTCTTTAATCTTGCATTAACAGAGTAATAGGAAACTGTTTTATTGCTCATTTGCTTTTTAGCTAACAAAATAAAGTGCTTATAACGAAAAAAGATAATGTTGCAATGATAATTACAGGTAAGGAAGAATGGTAGGGTATAAAATGATAGGTATAGAAAAGGTATTACAGCCAAACCTACTGAAGCGTGCAAAAACAAAACCGTGCAAAACAAAACCGACAATGTAAATTTCAAATCTGACGTCGATTTGAACCTCGATTCCTGATTGGATTATTCCAATAATAAAACGAAGTGCATGTTGGGTAAAGCGCGTTCACTCGTTCGCGGCAGTGCATTCCAAAAGTTGTTTCACGATGTCGACGATACAAGGATGGTTTCTGATGCTTCCAAACCTCTATGTCCTCCAGAATATCATATGTCAAAACAACAGGCTGCTTACCGCTAT